TAGTAACAGGTGCCTTACTAGTAGTAACAAGTGCCACGCTAGTAGTATGGTGAAGAGAAGGTCTCTTGGATCCGGACCGACTTGCGGTCCGCAGACGTGAGTGATGCTTCGCACGCAGACGGGTCATTCATGACGTGTTTCGGCAAAGTTGAGGTGAAGCATTGGCGAGGAAGTGCATCTTGGTGCAGTAAAATCGAACATGGTATTGCATGCAATAGTTGTCATTGGGGGTGATTTGAATGAGTTCATCCCAACCAGCACACACACACATGTCAGACAGCTTCAGGATGATGTCAAGCCCGAATGCGTGGACAACACAGCCGCAGCCTCAGCGAAGCCATGCGTTCACAATCGCGGAGAAGCAATGTGAAATACAGCGCCTCAAAAAACGTGACTGGGTGAGGAACACTCACAACAAGGGCATCGCTACTGGTAAAAAGGGCATCGCTACTAGTAGCAAGAAGCTACTAGTAGCAAACTCAGTGTTTCCTTTTGGAGCACCCGTCAGCCGAGTGCGATCCCGGGCCCTGAATGCCTCCGATCGAATGAGGATCCACGGCATCCGGCCAACGACAAGCTCTATTCGGAAGTGCCTGTTGAAGAGCTTCCGGGAGGTGAATCCCTGCAGATGACCGCAGACGCCTGGCGCCATACGTCGAAACAACGGGCTGGATTGCATGGGAAGGCTCTTTTGCACATCGGAATTGCAGAAAGCGGTTGTCTCTCCGTGGTGGAGTTTCTTTGTTTGTTGTGAGAAGCCGATGCTTCGTCGCTGAATTGACAAAGAGTTCGATTTTTTTTAACGATTTCTTATTGTAACACATTGGAAGCATGGTTTCGATTTTAGATGATGAGTCGGATGAGCTCTGAAAGCTAGGTCCACGTGAGTCACATCCGAACATCCAAGGCCAGAGTGATACCATACTGGACGAAGTGCATCGTACCTCTATTGACAGGTGAGCTAAAATGCCTGATGAACAGATTTGGAGAATTCTGTGCCTTGTGACATTCTTTGGTTCACAATGGTTCACATATGTTTGCCTGGGAGGTGAGCAGAATATTCTGGTGGTGGCGCATCGGGATTCCTTGAGAGCGCTCTTTGGGCACTTGGAAGGTGTAGAAGCTGGGACCGTTTTTTGACGGCACATCGCAGACAGCTCCGCTGGTCTATGAGTTCGGTGCGGGTCTCAGGATCATCTCGAAACGAAGGTTTTGGATGGAGAACTGGGGATTTTGGTGATTGTGTCCAACAAAAGGGCAGCACACACGAAAAGGGGCTTGCCTTTTTTTTGTTTTTCTTCGACTTGCTGGTTGCACTCGGAGTTGCCACAGATCTGGGCCGTTGTTGCGCCGCCACTGCCAACTGTAGTACTTGTACTGTACTAGTCGAACAAGGCCAGGTTGATGGTGCCAGCTGCTGTTTGCTTGGCAGTGACTTCAAGTGGCAAACAGTTACTCGTTAAATCGCGCCATGCTCTTTGTTGCATCGTTACTTTCGGCAGGAAACACACCCTTTTAGTGAGAACGCACCGGCGTTCTGAAAGGTTTGCACATGCGCCTTAACACTACTTTTGCATTGCCGGCCCAGAAAACGATAACAGAAAAAACGATAACGAGTTTATACAGGATGCTATCTGGGGTCTATGCCGGTGTCACTTTACCCGCGGCCACATGCAGCCAATCATGAGGAAACTGCAAGACAGTGACGCTTGCATGGTGCTGAGGTAACGATGCGACTTTCTTCAAGAAGTACAGTCTTAGTACCCTGAGCCCTGAGCTGGGACTCAGCCCGAAGAGCCTGGGACTGGTTCGATTTCATAATCAGCCTGGTGTTCATTATGAAAAGGTGGGCGAGGCCTGGTTGGGACTTGGTTTAGAACATTTTAGAACTGAGATTCCAAAATCTTTCGAACTTTTGCACGCCTCAACAGTTTCTTCCAGTGACTTGCTCCTTTGTCTCAGGTGGTTATCCTTCGTCACGGAGAAAGTGAATGCAACCTGAAAGAACAGTTTACCGGCTGGGAAGATTCTGGCATGACCGCCAAGGGTATTGAACAAGCACGGAAAGCTGGAAGGTTCTTAAAGGAGCACGGCTTTAAGTTCGATATGGTTTTTACCTCGGTCTTGAGCCGTGCCATCGAATCTGCTGCGTTGATTTGTGAAGAGTCCGACAACAAAGACGTCCCCATGGAAAAAGCCTGGCAACTCAATGCCAGGCATCCGGGGGTTCTTCAAGGCTTGACGAAGAAAGACGCCGTGAGTTTGTATGGCAAAGAAAAGGTGAATCTTTGGAGAGGGAGCTACGATGTGATGCCCGAGACGGTGGGATTGGATGACCATCGCCATCCAGTCAACAATCCGAACCTTGGATATCGTACAAAGGGAAAAAGGGGAGAAGGTCGCGGAGAGAGAGAGAGAGAGAGAGACTGGGAGTGTGGATGTTGAGGGGTTTGATGGACATGGGATGTAAACGAAACCAACATGGGAATCATCGTTAAGACAAAATCTGTTTCTGAGCAGCTGCGAACTCAATCACTTGAACAAGCATCCAGAACACTTTGCTAAAACATCGCAACCAATTCTGCTGTGGTTCATCCGATTCATCCCATATGCCAGCCTGTCACTGAGATTGTTTCATTATGCTGCCAATGTGAAGGTGTACAGGGTGTGTGTATGTGTGTGTGGTTTTCCACAGAGTTGTTCAGCAGCAGACAATTGGGGCCTTGATCGGCAGCCAAACCAATCCTTGTGGGTGCTGGCAAAAGAAAGGCATGGTGTGTACTTACTGCCAACAGTAGTTGCCCCAAACACCCAAACATCCAAAGCGTATCAAAAAGGTTAATATATTCTGGCATCCATGTTGCGAGGTCAACACAATCTTGTGATTTTGCTTGTGTGCTCAAGTAAGTCTTCCCCCATCAACCATTTGCGTATAGTATAGTTTTTTTTTTTTTTTAGAGAAACACAGACCAGGCTCTATAGTGGCATTCCAAAACGAGATTTGCCTCCTGGCGGTGAGTCTTTAGCCCGCACAGTTGATCGCATCGTGCCATACTGGCGAGGAAGCCACTTGGGCAATGTGAATGCCGTTTGTTCGATGGTTTTCTTTTTTTTCCTGACAAAAATAACTCATATCGTTTTTGAAAAGTTCCACAGTCGATCTGTCGTTCAATTGTCCAGTCGATGGTTCGGAAGTTTGGAGTTCGAGAAGGTGGATTCAAGATTCAATTGGGAAATGAATCCATGACGATGTATCACGATGTAAAACAGGGTTCCTGTTGTCCATACAAATCCAAGACATCTGAGATGAGGATGTGCATACTTCACAAGTGGGGTCCAAACAATGTGTAACTCCTGTGTGAGGAATCAACCGCCAATGACTCATCACCGTAGCTGAGGTATTGCTCCACAGGTGAAAGCTGGGAAGTCAGTGCTGATTGTTGGACACAAGAATTCCTTGAAGGCAGGAGTCTAGTGGTGAGTTGAAAGCTGAAACGCATGGGTCGTATTGCTCAGCAACAAACTGAGGTACCCAGGCTTATGTTTGAGTTACCAGAGTGGTGCTTGCCCACCATGCCCCACAGCCATGTGTTTACTTATTGTGTTGGCGTGGGGAACGGTTCATGCTCAAGCCTAGATCTGGTTGTTGCTGAATGGAGGCATTGTTCATGTACCTGGAAGACACCTCAGAGCACGACATGTTTGATGTGAAGCCCGTTTCGACCACCGCACCCTTGGTGATGGAATTTGGACTATGCAAATTCAGCGATCGATTGATGATTCTGAGAAAGTATTTTGTGAAACATACCACAGAGGAAGGCTTGGCACTGAGCCAATGCAAAGATGGCTCCTTCCACAAGTGAGTTGTGGCCTGGAGGATTCTTGACAATTGACTGTACATAGACAGCATCATGGGACAGCCAGCATCGACAGCCAGCGGCGTTCTCGCGCTCAGGCGTCTCCTGTGGATTTTCCGGCCGCAAGGGTGCCGAATCCACACGGAAAACGGAGTCCTGAACAGTCATGGAGTCCTGAACTGGGTCCAGGGTTTTGTGACTCCAGCGATCGATTTGGCATAGAGAAACAACGGCCCAAGCTGGATGTCAAAAGGTGATCCGAGAATTCTCAGACTCTTTTTCAATGGAAGAATGGAACCACTCTCTTCAGTGCAGAAGTTGATGGGGTTCTGCTATGTTCCGATCCCGTCTTCAGGAGGAGCCTGAGTTTGTTGGCCCTGGGGGAGCAACCAGGCGCCGGTTTCCACAGTATGGGAGGTGGACGAACTGCTCCTGTTAGTCAAAACCTGCATGGCGATCTGAAATCGCAGGCCTCAATGGGATCAGGGTCAGTGTAGGATGACCATCCGCCACAAGGGGTTTTGATCAGACGGGTAGTCCAACCGATTGTGCCGGTGTGTGAATGTGCAAGGGAACAACTGACTGCACTTGCGGCCATGCTGCAGCAACAACCGGATATGCGATGATCTCAGATCGGAGAGGGAGTGTGATCAGATTGTCATACCCAAAGCAAGCATAGAGAGCTTGCAGTGAAGAATGAATAAGTAAATTACATATTGAAACAATTTGAAGCACATCGCAATTGGACACCTAAATCAAGTTGATTCGTAGGCTGGAGCAGCTGCTTCCAGATATAGAAGCCCAAGACCCCAACATGGCTGCAGCCATCCGTCTGGGCCTCAGAATCCCTGGAATTTTCTGGGCTTTCTCCCAGATTCGAACTTCAGTGAAGCGAGCTCCAAGGTGAGAATCCTCAGTGGCTTGTTTGCATTTGCGTTTTTCCATGGCTCCAGCCACCATATCAAGCCAATTGGTCAATTCTTCTACGAAATTGGATCGAATTGGTCATGTGGGCTTGTAGCAACATACAATGTTCCACCCCAGTGCAGAAGCCAGCTAAGGCTTTCTTAATCTTTGTTATGCTATGTTATGCTTTGTTATAGATCTGAGGCTTGCACGTTTGGCCAATTCTAAGGCCTTTGAACATACGTAGCATGTTGCTGTTCGATTGTACCACTTTTCGACCAAACTCCAGACGGCGAAACCTTTCGTGGAGGCTTTCGGCGACTCGACTCGACCAAAAACGAATGCAAAGCGACTGTTTGAGGCGGCTCATCGAGCATTTGGCGAGAATGGGAGCTGGAGGTGCGCTAGCTCCATAGCAAGAAGATCCCAAGCAGATACCCTGGACATGCAAATCATACAACAACTTCCTGCCACTTACACCCTGGGCTCATTATCATACTCAACATTCATACTCTCTTTTTTCCTCCGTGTGCGCCGATCAGCAGGAGGCATGCCTGGAATGCCCGGTGGCATGCCCCCTGGTGGCGAAGTGATTCGACTGACCGAGGAGGAGAACGCCGCCGTCTAAAGCTCAGCGCAGGTCCCTGTGTGCCCATGCACAGGCGCCGCCCATGGTTCGATACTTTAAATTGATAAGAACAAGATGGAGAAACATTGTCCATTTTTCCGTAGAATTGAACGTGTCCTAAGGGAATCTATATACAGTTTGCAACAATATGGATGGTAAGCCAGAGTGTTCGTCTACCTTCTCTCTCATTTCTCGGGTGTGTTCCACGAAAAGCGTTCTATGGGGTGTTGCTTGTTCTATATAGTCACGGACAAATACTTAGAAGCTATTTTGGAAAAAAATACTTTTTCTAAACGCGCTGCTGCAAGGTTCTAAGTAAACGCTTAGAAGCATGAAAAACAAGATGTTTGCAGCTGTGGAGTTCCGAGGGTTCTAAGTGAGTGTTGCGCAAGCTATTTTGACATTTGGCAGCGCACATAAATTTTGGTGAGTTGTTGTTTGGGTGCTGGAAGCCTACACATTTGGCTCAATTGCAAGACGGTGACAGCAGTCGCTTTACTGGTTTGTCATAGCTGGTTTGTCATAGCTGGAATGATAGCCTGTAGTAACTACTTACTTGTTGAATGGCTGGCCTTTCGAACTTTTTCCTAACTACTCATTTTCCCATGCACAACTATATAAAATAGAGTTGTTTCCATATTTGTGTGTATTGTGCATATCTTGGGGGGGGGGGGGGGGGGGGGAATAAATGCGAAAAACGACGAGCGGCGGCATGTTGCATCTCGAATCCCTAAATTCAGGGGCGTATAGATGCGTAGAAGTTTCACAATTCTCCAACATGTCCCCATTTTAGTGTTTGCTATCTCTGGGACAACGAACTCACATGAACAGCCCTCAAAAACTCCAATAACATATGTTTTAATTCGAGACTTTCTCTACATACCTTGAAGCACGATAAACCCGGCGTCTTCTTGAGCGGAATCTTCTTGAGCGTCAGCCGGCGACAATCTGCAGCAAACATATCCGCCAAACATGTCGTTTCTTTTTCTGTCGCTCCTCTCCCTTGGTATCCTTATTATGAGCAAGAGCAATTGCTTAAAACGGCATCTTTGGACTTGTAGATGTCGGAGTGGGAACACAAAAATAGAGGCTGTAAGTAGGGTGGGACGTTTTTTTGTGGAAAATCTGTTGCGTAAAGTGTAGCTCAAACAGCTATTGTGAAGTGGCCTGCTTACTAAATCCATCACAATCCTAATGAGATCCAACGAATGCGAATACATTTGTTTCCAAATCGCTTGACTTCACGTGGTGTTTGCGCGTGCCTTTCGTGCCTGAGATTCTTATTGTGAGCTGTGGCCAAAGCCTGATTGATGGAATTGTTCGAACTTGTGCTGGCATGGTGCATTCATTCCAAAAAACCTGTCGCAAGACCTATGTGACGCAAGGTTTTTTGGTTTCGCAGAACACATGGGAAGCGGTTCTTTTTCGCCGATAGCCGATTTTCATAGCTGAACTATATTGGATTTATATCGCGACGGAAGCCATGCCGCCAAAGAGAAAGGCATGCGAAAATTGTTTGAGCGATGACTTAGAGAAGCTCAATGGCGCGACTGGGAACAGAGTGCATCGTGAAGCAGCGTTTGCTGCCCAGTATCTGGAGACCCGGAAGGAGTATGCCTTTGTAAGTGATGCTTGGCACTTTGGTTGGTGCTTGCACCTTACCTTGAAAGAACTCCTTTTTCTTTATTTTTTCCCACCTTTCATGCGCGGGTTGTTCTCCTTCTCCTTCTTCTCCTTCTTCTCCTTCTTCTTCTCCTTCTTCTTCTCCTTCTCCTTCTTCTCCTTTTCCTTCTCCTCCTCGTCCTCCACCGCCGCACCACGCCCAGTGTTCCCTGTCGGACCTCACGACCATCCATGTCCAGTGTTCCCTGTCGGACCTCAACCACGACCATCGACGCCCAGTGCCCCCTGCCGGACCTCAACCACGACCAGGCATGCCCAGTGTTCCCTGCCGGACCTGAACCACGACCAGCCACGCCCAGTCTTCCCTGCCGGACCTCAACCACGACCAGCCATGCTCAGTGTTCCCTGCCAGACCTCAACCACGACCAGCCACGCCCAGTGTTCCCTGCCGGACCTCAACACACAATTACACACAGAACAACAAACACACAACCGCAAACACAACTACAAAGAGACAATCCCGAACACATTAGGACAAACACAACCAACCACAAACACACAACCACAAACAGAACAAAAAAAACACACAACCATCACAAACCCATCACGACATACACAACCACAAGCAGAACAACAAACACACAATCACAAACACAACTAGAAACACACAGCCACAAACACACAATCACAAACACACAACGACAAACACAATCACAAACATAACCACAACACACCACGACAACACATAACTACAAACACACAACCATAAACACAGCACAGAAGGACAACGCACCACCGGAGGACCGAAGCAAAATCGCGAACCAGCAGGAGCAATCAGTTCGAAGATATGGCAGAGTGAGTGCGGTAGGATGCGTATGTCTACAAATCTGAGACTATACACTTGGGCTGCGACACGCGCAACAAGGTTGATGTCAACGTGGTCGTTTTGAAGTGTCATGGTGGGGTCACTCGAAGTAAAGTAGTTTTTTCAAAAGGAGGACGGCGAGTTGCGTAAAGTATGCCGTGCGGTGAGTGAGGTACTTTTCTTACAGGCATCTTGTTGGGTCGTCAGTTGAAGACCGCATTGGCGAAATTATGCCCATTTTTCTGGCGGCATACATCGGAGTTCGGCGTCATCAAACCGAATCTCTACCAGGGTGGCTGCGCGATATTGCACAGCGTGAGATTCCTTTTTATGACGGTAAACACTCCTTAACTACAGTCGTGGACGCCATCCGTCTTCATGAAGTCGACAAGGAGCATGATGTCCTCGCTGCAAAGTTTTGTGTTGTGTTCCAGCTCCTGAAAGAGGTCTATCAGCACTTTGGTATGCCCGCGTTGATCATCAATGTGCTTTTGGCTACCAGGTGAGGTTGTTGGCGTTTGTAATAGGTTATTTCTGGTGAGCAATGCCCAAGATTCTTAAAGGTGCAACGTGAGAAGGACAAACAAAGCCACAGAAAACCAAAGCAAATCTAAACAAGTCAAAGTAGTTTAAGGCTGAAAGGAAATGAACGGAAATTGACCTGAAATAGGAGGAAAGGAACACGAAAGGAAATAAATGAAAGGAAACGGGAAAGGATATTATAGAGTGTTCAGATAAGACTGAACCATATTATTATAGCGTCCACGACATAGTATGAACAAGCGATACCTGGACGGTCGGCGTGCATAGCGTTTTGTAAATAATGATTTCGGCGGTTGTTTGCTTTATTTGCATTTTCAACCAATCCTCCCAGAGCGACGAACGAAGTGAAGCGCCGATTGAAGAAGTTTTGGGTTGAAGTTTTGCTTGGAGATTGCAAGTTTTTCGATTTTCATTCCTCCTTGACTTTCGTTGCTTCGCGCTGTGGACGCCTCATCGGCGCACCCCAACCCCTGGAAGCCCGCGTAGCGTCTGCGCAACACCCACCTCAACAAGCGACTGCCGCCGAAGCACCGCCTGCCGGAACCACCGCCAATAACCCCCCCCCGGGAAAAAAGCCAAGCTTTGAGCGTGCCCTCGCGATTGGTAAAAGCTCAAAAGATGAAGGGCGCAACACTACTAGTACCCCTGCCGCCTTAAGCAAAGCCATCCGGTTGCCCACCGACCACGCCTATACGCGCGCCTATACCACGGCCAAACAGAAAGCGCGGCCAGACACACACCCATACCCACCCCTGCTGAAGCTTTGTCCTTTGAACGGACGAACGACGACCGACGACCGACGAACGACGAACGACGAACGACGAACGAACGACGAAGGACGAACGACGAACGATGAACGATGAACGAACGACGAACGACGAACGACTACGACGAACGACGAGCGACGAACGAACGACGAACGACGAACGACGAGCGACGAACGAACGAAACGACGACGAAGAACAATGAACGAACGACGACGAACGACGAACGACGAACGACGAGCGACGAACGAACGACAAACGACCAACGACGAACGACAAACGACGAACGACGAGCGACGAACGAACGACGAACGAACGACGACGAAGAACGACGAACGACGGACGACGGACGACGCACGACGATCGACGAACGACGAACGACGGACGAACGACGAACGACGAACCACGAACGAACGATGAAGGACCAAGGATCGACCAAGGACGAACGACGAACGCCGAACGACGAACGCCGAACGACGAACGAACGACGAACGATGAAGGAACGACGAACGACGAACGTCTGAACGCGCCTGGCATCTTCAGCCGGTTCCGGCTGAGGGCCTGGCGTCCGAAGCAGCGTCCAAAAGGCCCGGAAGGTGGACCGTATGAGAGGTACCACAGTGCTGCTGAACCTCGGTTTCTACACAAGAATTTGAACGTCGCAAACAAGCATGGCTACAGCAACTCAAGCCCAGCCCCCCGTCACACGCACGCGCACTCGCACAGTTTGTGAGCGTCCTCCTCCTCATCCGCTTCTCCCTCCTGTTCCGAATCTTCTCCGCAACTGCCAGCTCCAGATCGCAGTGGGCACTGCCGGACCTCAACTGGTAGCTGTTGATGACTGGGCGCTGCCGGACCTCAAGTGCAAGCTCCCAGGTGCCGTTTGCGGCGCTGCCGGATTTCAACTGGCAGCTGTTGGCTGCCAGACCTCATGCGCAAGCTCCAAAGTGCCGTTTGACCCCAACTGCAAGTTTGAGATCAATGATGGGCTCTCCCAGCCTTCAACGAACGTTCCAACTGCCAGTACTGGAAACCCCAGTGAAGTTCCTGAATTGCTATGAGTCCGCCAGGACAAAAATGTGTTGAAAGGGGAGATGACCTGTGCAACCTCTGGACACGTCGCGTCTCCACCCGTGCAAAAGGATTTGGTGCAAGGGGCAGGCTCGCGTGCTGCGTGCTGCGCGCTGCGTGCGCGAGCG